AAATTATCCCGATTGTTAAAAACGTGATATATTGTATACGTTTTTATAGAAGGAAACAGAATTCCCAGTATATTAAAAAAAAGGAATTACCTAATACATTTAATAATTAAAAACCGAGAAGGATACCGAACCGGGTGTTGGCCACTTCTCAGAATCTCATGGTTAAGAAATAACCAATATTTTGGTGATAGAAATACCTATAAAAATTACAATTTTATACTCATAATCTAAAATATGAGTACCAAAAATTATAAGGAATTTAATGAGTGTAAAATTTAATATATATGTATTGAGTAGCATATCTTAATTTTAACAAATAAATAAATTAAGAGGACGTCGCACCCGCTGTGTTGTCTCCGTCTTACACACGTCCGACATGGAAAATTTTCGTTTGCTATTTACAATAGGGTGCTATCATTTTTGATTTTAGAGTGAATTGACCAATTATCAAACTTTTGTGTAACAACATTATCTGTGTTCTCTCGTTGGTTTTTTTTGTTGATATTTTAATTTTTAAGTGAGTTATCAGTAAGTAAAATATTAAGGTTTGAAAATGCTCATAGCTCACTTAATATTAAAATATCGTAAAAAACCGACGAGAGAACACAGATAATGTAGTTACCTACCTAAAAATTTGATAATAGGTAAATTCATTCTAATATCAAAACTGGCAGCACCTTATGGAAACTAGCGAACAAAAATGTATATCGTAAGTGTGTACTTCCTTCGTACACACTTACGATATACATTTTTACACAATATATGCGGGTGCGACGTCCTCTTAAGACCAACTACTAATAATAAATCATACATTTTATATTCTATTGAAGAAATTGACATAAATACATAATTGTTTATTTGTTCTTAATTCATTATTATTACAACAAGAATGAAGGCTTTTTTATTATTTATTTATTTCATTTACGTGAAGTATACAAGCTCTCATAAGATTTTAAATTAGTTTTTGAATACTAGGCAGGTATTAATTCGTTATCCATCAATTTATTGAAATAAACAAAATATAATCTATTATATAATAGGTGTATTCAAATTATTATTATTTTGACAACACAATTTCAAATGGCTACTGTATACTGACAAATACTTAGATGTTAGAATGTTACTTATGAACCCAATATGAACTACTGAAATAATAAACCTAAATTAATCTCTAATCGAATCCAACGATCCACTTTGATAAGATGAAAAGTATGTAGGTATATTGTATGTTATTCATGTTTAGTTTTATAAAATAATTTTTTCCGCTATCCCTATTTATTGTTTAAAAGTGTTTGTTAAGTAACCTTATATTTTAACATTATTATCAATTAAAAGCATTATTAAAGATAGAACTTAAATGTTTGAAAAGCATACAGAAATATTTAGCATTTTAATTTGTTTTATTTTGATTTCGTTTTTCTGTAGTTCACACACATTTAGTTAGGTGACCAAAATTGCATGTAATTGTATTCGTTTCTTTCCCTAACAAAATATATAGTATTATCTGGAAAATATTAAGTACCTAGTTATCATTTATAAAATAGATGTAGAAATTATGTAAGACAACAATTTATATTTTCTCCGTTGCAAGAAAATCATAGTCATGATTAAAATAATGTATCAACGAGGTTGCCGTGGTAACGTACATTATATATCAGTTGCTAGGAGCAACCTAGGTATTGTAATTTCGGTACTACAATTTCGTAATACAAAATCGGTTGATAGGGGCATGTTGATACACATAGGTAATGTAACACACAATCGGTTAGAAAAAGTTGTTCGCAGCCCAAAAATAGCAAAAACATATTTACCGTATACATAAGTATATGTTTAAAATTTAAATCAAACTCTCTAATAGTTTTAAAAATGTTTACTTCATTTTTTTAATAAAGATATCCAATTGATTATACAAAAACAGTTTATAAAATGTCATGTGTTAATGCACTTAAAATATTATTAACCATATTTTAAATGCAATTGAATATTTTTATATTATAGAGTTTTATATTATATATTTTGTATGATGGTGCTTTTTAAGATTACAAATAATATTTCCAACGCTTATTGGTAGAATGATGTTTCTAGGTTTTTTTAATTGGCCAAGGGTGACTGAGTGAGGAAAACCTGAAGATGTGTGAATACTTCGCATGAAACTCTAAAGTTGTAAACATTTTTTAGTCGATGTTTAGTTTTTCCATTATAAGTAGGTACAAAACTATCTTGTTTTTTTAACGTTTTAAATTATAATACTTCATTTTAAGAGGAAAACTTTACGAAACTTACCTAATTGCCTACTTAATTTTATTGGATATTTGCCAATGATTGTATACTTTTTGGAATATAAAATTACAAATGCATGCGTTACCTAATTAATGATTAATATACCTAATGACTAAAGGGGGGTTCACACTACACCGTGTCGTGTAAAATAATCACGGTTACCACAGTTACCAAACGATACCGCATAGTTGAATATATTCAACTTTTGACCGTGTGGTTACATTTATGTGCAGATAAAGCCGGGTTCATACTTAATTTAACCACACGGTCAAAAGTTGAATATAATATTCAACTATGCGGTATCGTTTGGTAACAGAGGTAACCGTGATTATATTACACGACACGGTGTAGTGTGAACCCGGCTTAATGGCTAATTTTATCATAATAAATTGAAAATGTACAGATTTTATAAACACTAGGTACTAGGTAAATGTTCAATTAATAATATCCCTACCTATTAGGCAGTGGCGTCCGGAGGGGGGGGCTAACGGTCTGAAACCCCCCATTGCCCGTATTATTATTACTTTAAAAAAAAATGTATTTATCAAGTTTCAACTGTCAACTATAGTAAGCAAGGCATACATTTTATATACGTCTTACCAGAATGAATTCATTTTTAAAAAAACGTTGTATTTGCATACCAATTTTCCTAAAATTATCTGTAATTTTTTGGTAAAAGTATGCACTACTTGTATGTAAGACCTTGTATTAAATTTCCTAGTCCTAGCTTATACCAATTTAATATTTTATAAGTTTTGAAGAAATTTGAACTTAAAATATTTATAAAAAATAACCATGAATCATGATGCCTATGTATTGTTAATATTTTAGATAGGTATAATAAAAACTTACATATTACATTGTTAAGCTTTTTGACCGGATAAATAATTTTTTATTGACATTTATAGAAAAAAAATTTTAATTAATCAAATACAATCCAAGTGAGGACGGTATAACCAAGCTGGTTACCAAACTATTTTAATACATTTTCATTTTTTTCTCCAATTATTTTAAAAAGCACTGAGCATTTGAATTTCGACCTCCTAAAAGTACCAACTAGATTCAATTTGCTTCCAAAAACATACATCGGACATCGAAGCTTATGATCAGAGCATTTTTTCTACCAGAAAAGTTTAAAAGTTAAAAACATTTTAAAATACTTACCTCAAATAAACGTCTGAAATTATTAGACTGGACAGAATAAAAATACAATTGTAAATAATTTTCAAGCCCCCCCCCCGCAATGAAAAATCCTGCGTACGCCAATGCTATTAGGTTTAATTATTGACAACATAATCAATAGTAAAAAGTTAAATTTATATACCCTGGTACAGTAGTACACAGGATTTGATGATGATGGTGGAGAGTGACTTGCCTTAGCACTTTTATGCTGGATTGCACAAAACATTTAATGAATCAATAGTGAGCTAATGGTCCCTTAAAAATGATTTAGTGGCCCGTGATTGGTCCATTACATTTTTAGTGAACCATTAAATTTAATAAATGTTTATGCACCCAGCAATAGTTTTGTAAAAATATACAATAATGCGTTACCTATCTATGGTGTAAGGGATCACCCTTAGGCCCTCAGCGTACTGTGCTGTTTGTATGTTCATATTTACATATTAATAGTCAACTCTAATTTTGTAAATACCGTACAATCACCGTACTTATTTATATATACACAAAACACCTAGCCAAATAGGTCTTATCAATGATTCAATATGAAGTAGTCACGGCCGTACGCAGTATGTATACAAATAAAATTTACAATCATACGATTTTAATAGCCAATAATCAGCTCATGACACGGACATTATTATTCAGGAAATCCGCCAATTAATGCGTACACCAGTTACTACACCGGCCATAAATTACCCATTGTCCGTCTGCCCATCATTTACATACTTCAAACATGGTATAACAATAACAACAACCACCACGATAATAATATTATTATGTGGGTACCTACGAGACTACGAGAGTTATACGCAAGAGTGTACGATGAGATTAAACTTAGGTGTTTTTTCACGGCTGGTGGTGGCGTCGGATGAGGGGTGGGTGCGGGGGATATTGTAGCCGGCGAGCGCGGGGGAAGGGAGTGCCGTAGTGCCACCGCCACTGTGCCGTCAAGAACGAAAATATCGTGTTTTTATATTTTTATTATTATTATTATAGCACTCGCTCGGCTCACAAACACGATCACTGCGCCGCAAAACACATACGTGCGCGCCAGCTACAGAGTCCGTCACGCGGTGCTCGAAATATGTGCGTTTTGTTATCGCCGCGACGACTGATAGCATGTAAAACACACACACACATACAAACACACACGACACACTTAAGAATTAAAAATAGTATATATTGTATTATATTTATAATCAATGTTATTATATGTAAAGAAAAAAAATCCAAACGACGACGTTCCAACACACACACACGCGCTCGCGCCCGCGCGCGCAAACCTGTGCGATTGTTACCAGACAGCTGAGTTACCTTGTGCAACGGATTCGGTCGGTCGGTCGGCCGGCCGGCCGGCGGCGGCGAACGCCCTTTTATCGTGGTATTAGTTATTATTACCTATGCACTTAGTTGTTTCTTTTATTGCGATTTTTCTGGCTACGACGACGGTAATAACACAAATAAATAATATTATACATAATATATCAAATGTGAGCTAATATCATTGCTGTAAGTATTAATATCGAACATGATCGAACCTGCGGACGACGACGAGTCGGACGGCTGCAGCGCTCGCGTCATCGGTTCTTCGGCGGCGGACAACACGTCTACTGCCGACGATACGCTGTCGTTGTCGTAGTCGTAGTCTTCCGGCAGAGGCAACGCGTCGGTCGTCGGCACGCCGGTAATCGTGGTCGTTCTATTTCGGCCAGGCCACGGGATACACCACTGGCCGAAACACAGTCTCATAAAGGCAGCCACTGTTGTTCGCGGGCGAGCATGCCTCGCGGACGTGACCGTGATAGCGGGAAAACGACGACCGAATGACCTACGGTTGCGGTACGATCGCCGCGGTGGCGAGACGGAACTTATTGGGAACGAAAACCTTCCCACTACCCGGACTTAACGATTGCTGTCGGAGACGACTGGGAGAGACGGTGGCTTTTAAATTTCATATAAAATTAATGTTATTATTAATAACAATACAGCTACTTATTCAACACGCGTATATTATCGGTCGTAATAACACGTGTGCCACGGTGTAAACAGCGACTGAAGCAACAGTTAAACTCGCAGCAACGACGACGACCACTACATGCGGTACCGGTCCGACTGTCGCGCACTGCGCAGTGTCCGCAGTGGCGCCGCGGCGGATGGCGGTGCGGTTCGGCGGCCGTCGGCTCGTCCGTGTCTGCGAGACTTTGATCGTACTCGGAGCGGCTGTTCCAACAGAGAGCGCGCGCGCACCGATGTCACTACCACAGACTATTATTATAATATTTATTATCGACGATCCACGCTGCTCGTTCAATCAGTCGAGCTTTTTAAGTTTTTAGTTTTTACTCTCCTTTTTATTTATTATATTCTTGTTCATTTAAAACCAAAAAAACTCAGAAAGTGTATACTCGATACAAATTGGTGTCAACGTACACGTGGGTTTCCTCATGGGAAAACCATCGTCTTAGATAATTCAGTATCGGTACACTTGAAAACATGTCGATGCTTTCTTCGTGTAATCATGTGTAAATAATAATAGTTTTTCCCCGTCCAGTTTATATAGGTGCGAAAGTCTAAAACACGCGTGCATATTAAAATAATATTACGATTTACATTACGGGTAACTAGTATTAAGTAATAGTACGAAAGATAATTGGAAACACGTGTATCCGTGTCAATGTTCGACGGCCGTAACAGTTATTAATATGATTGTCAATTCTCGTAATTCGTCATTATATTTAGTGTTATATTATTACATATTTATATTGGTTTGAAAAAATCAAAAGAACAGGAAAAATAAATACATTTTAGGATTTCAGTAAGTATAATATGAAGATTGAAGACATTAGTACAATAGTACATTAATAATTGTAGTGCCTACTGCCTACACTGTACAAATTACAAAATCATAGAAGATCGGTGATTTGACATGCAATTTTAACCCAGAATTTCTATCCCAGGCAACAGAAGAGTTAAGATAAATTTTGAACATCATACACCGAATATTAAATAACGAATTGAACAAAGTTTGAGTCATATGTTATATGTTGGTACATTTAATGGGAAACGAAGTGCACGGGATCAGCTAGTATATAATATATTCATTAGTTTCCAAACTTCAATGTGTTAATGTATATACATACTTAGGTATCTACATACATGACTATATACCTTCATAATCAGTGGTGGATACTGGATTTATAAGAGATTTCGGACGGATAAAAATTCAAACTTTACACCTGCTCCCGAAGAAAAATATTTTTTTTACTTTTACACAATATTAAAAAAAATTAATGTATTTGTTTATTTTATGGCATAAAAACTTTAAGTTTGCTTTCACTCAATATTACGAAGTATAGTTTTATACATTTAAATATATATAGGATTCCTAACAAGTAACAAGCTATTCTGCAAAATTATTAAATATTTATTATTTTATATCATCAATTAATTTTGTTGCAAAATTAAAAAATCAATTTACAAATTTTATAAGTTCCATAGTAGCTTTATAGAAATGAAATAAAATAACATATTAATAATTATTATATAATATAATATTCTGCAGATCATCCATATAATAATCCGTTAAATATTTTAGATAATTATTTTTCATACAATACAGGCCTAATTTCAAAATATTAGATACTAATTTTAATTTACTTCTTCTATTTTCTATTCTAATCCTGATCATTCAGTGCAATATTTAAATGATTCTCCGGACCAACCAATATAATATTCACCTATTAATAGTTAATAGGCAGTTTACTTGTAAAGTTTCATCAGAATCCTACTTTGCCTTCTGAGCCCCTATTTTTTCAAATTGTTTCCAACGTAAGTTAAGAATATAGGAATACAGTTTATAGTAATATAGTAATCTAGTATAATACAATTAAAATTTACTGATGAACATTAATTATTATATTCATTAGTAACCCAACTTTGTTTTCAATTTTCAAATCCAATCAACAAGAATATAAACCAATGTTCAATTTATTAATATTTTATTTTTATTCCTAATAATTTATAACAATTTTGACTATTGATTAATATTTTTATTTTTTTTTTTAGACTGAGCTAATATATGAAAGTAAATTTATGAATGTATTGATTTTACAATGATTTGTATTTTTTCTTATGTTTATATTAGAAATTTCCATATATGGTATAATTTCGACTCTTTTTTTCTTCTGTATTTATATAAATTTGGCATTATTTTCTCTAAATATCGATAAAAACATGTTCGGTTTATCAATAAGCATGAAAATTGAATACATGGTTAAGTTGTTCATCAGTTTTTATTATTGCTAATTAAATATATTAAATATATATGCACGATTATTTTTTATAGACGTTTAAAGAAGTTTAAATTTGGACGAATTTCATAATCTAACAAAGAACAAAAATTTAGGTATTTTGTTGTAATTTAAAAATATGTTTTGTGGAATTTAAAACTTTTACCTGTATTATTTTTGATATACACAATGTCATAATAACCAGGAAAAGGAAAGAAAATAGTTTTTAAAACTTATTAGTATGTTACTTAGATAGATTTGAAGTAGAAAGAGATTATTGGGACATCTAGACAGCTCTAACTGGGCTGTACAATTTATTGAAATGGATCTATACGTTTGAAAATGTTACTTTTTTTTCGAATTACTGGGTGTTAATTACTTTAACCATATTTAAAAAATTACTCTTATTGTGTCCTAGCAGGTGGTAATTAAAAAATTAAATTTATTTTTAACTTATTATTTATTTTTGTTAATATTTGTCTCCACATCAACTTTAAACATTTTTAGAGTAAAATATTTATTGTTATTGTGATTTAGGTTTATATTTTTGGAACATTTTGGTGTCAATTTACTACCTCCAATTGTTTTCATTAACATGCTCACCTTTGAAGCATAACCATTATGTGCTCAAATTATTTATGGTCCGCTTACTTCAATTATTATTTTATTATTCTGAGCACATGCCATTTGAACATGACCCACTCCAACATACAATAGTATGGTAATTAATGTCCTAATCCCTATGTTATATTATATATTGTATATTGTTATTTTGTACATAAAAATGGTATACATAATTAATTTTAAATTTTAATACATTAAAGTATAAGAGTATAAGACATTATAACTTAGGTACTTTTATTTCATCTTTAAATGTATGTATTTTAAACAATTAAATATCATATAGCTAATAGCTACCTACGTTTTAACATTTGTGGTTATACACTGATTTGAAACTAGGATAAACTCAAAAAGCTATCTCCTGATGCTAAAAATCTGAGTGTTATATAATCGTTCTTTAATAGGAATATATTTTCCTGTGTTTGTGTCAAATTTTGTGATGTATGGCAAAAGTTTTCGAACTTAAGTAGGTATATGTTATATATACTACCTGATGATTCATTATTTAAATCATGGAGTATAGACTGAACGTACTACTGTGCTAGCAAGAATTGCAACTGCAAAAGTAATTAAAAGTAATGGTGTGTAATGTATATCTATATTTTATAAGTTTATACATTTATTATATGAGATGACATGCAATACGTTATATGTCCCACGACTCGCAGTATTCTTATACCAAGGTTTAGGTTAAATGTTTCATATATTTTTTGATGTATACGCGTTATGAGTACCGCCTGTATGGCTGTATGGACGCATGGCTATATAAAATTGGTGGTAATCAACTCATAGAAATATATAATATGTCAATATGGCAATATAGTATTTAAAATCTTCAAAAAATATTTTTTTAGATTTGATATACCTAACATAATTAATAATCTATATTATAATCTACTAATATTATAAAGCTGAAGAGTTTGTTGGTTTGTTTGTTTGTTTGTTTGTTTGTTTGTTTGTTTGAACGCGTCAAACTCAGGAACTACTGGTTTGAATTGAAAAATTATTTTTTTTGTTGGATAGTCCATTCATATAGGCAAACATCACTCTACGACCAATTAATAGAAGTGCTCAAACAGGGATTTTGAGATTTACGATGGAAATATTTGTTTATAAATGGTTGCTATTGGTTATATGAGAAATAATTAATAGAAATAGTATTTATTTATTATTGGTTGCTAATTACTTGCTATTGGTTTATCGGGCATATCAGGTACAAGTAGGGTTGCCACCTCTCCGGGTTTCACCCGGAGAATCCGGGTTTACGTATAAATCTACGGGCTCCGGGTTCAGTGAATTATTCTCCGGGTCGGAGATACAGATAAGATAACATACGATTTTTATTATTATGCCTTTTTTTTTATTAGTTTCCGGTATAAAAACCATTTATTCAAGATAACAAGAATAATAAGATTATGAACTACGGTTTATGACTTTAAGAGTCTACGATTACGATTTTACGAATCAGTTTCAACATCACAGTCGAGTGTGTTTGATCGAATCCGAATATCTGCTTTTAATTTTTGTGTCAGTGTAACCGTGCATCGATATTATAAAACTACACAGAATTTGAAAAGTAATTCATTAATGACCACATTTATGACTAAACGACCTTTTTTTTTTTTTGCTTATCGGCCTGTCTCCGGGGCTGCTTTCTTTCAAAGGTGGCAACTCTAGGTACAAGCATACATCAAATCAAATTTTCGCACATTGCCTAGTGCCTACCAAGGGCTGAGTTGCACTTACTGCAGTGAGTTAGGTACACCAAAAAGGAGTTGAACAATCACAAATTTTTTGTCATTTTTTATGGGCCACGAAGTGCACAGGATCAGCTAGTAT